TTTAATTACTTTATGGGTGGTTACCTTGCCAACACATTCGTTGATATGATGCAGAACAGAGCTGGTGTAGGTATTAACATCTGTGTGGGAGTCCAGTGTGGCCCGAGAAGCAAACAAATTCCAGTCTGTGTTCTGGAACTCCTGCTGTAGTGAAGAGTCTGCTTCTTCCAGCCAAACTTTAACAGCCCTCACAGTGGGTTTCACACGTTTGATGATTGGGGTGTATTTGGGTAGCAGGAACAGGGAGAGGTGATCAGATTGTCCAACGTGGGGGAGGGGAGTTGCTTTGTAAGCATCAGGGATGTTTGTATAAACATGATCAAGAGTATTGTCTCCTCTTGTCGGGCAAGTAACATTTTGATAAAAATTTGGGGAGAGTTGTTCTCAGCTTGGCATGATTGAAATCACCAGCAATAATAAAGACTCCATCCGGATGTGTTGTTTGCAGCTTACCAACAACAGAAGATAGTTCTTTCATGGCTAGTTTAGCATTAGCATCCGGGGGTACATACACTGCAGCAATTATGGCAGTTGTAAATTCACGAGGCAGAAAAAAGGGTCTGCACTTGATAAAGATGTATTCAATATCAGCAGAACAGTGGGATTTAGTAATAACAACATCGGAGCACCAGGATCTGTTTACATAGAGGCAAACACCCCCACCTTTGCTTTTACCGGAGTCCACAGCCGTTCTGTCAGCCCTGTAGATATTGCGCCCCTCTAGCTCAATCACGCTATTTGGAATGGTGCTATTGAGCCAAGTTTCTGTGAAAACCATAACGTTGCAGTCTATAAACATTCACTGAGTGATCTGAAGTCGTAGCTCGTCGATCTTGTTTGCCAGAGATCGTACGTTAGCGAGGAAGATGCTTGGTATCGCTGGACGACGCGGGTTGAGCTTTAGCTTAGCCCGCAGGCCGCTCCGCTTACCCCGTCTTTGTTTACGTTCGCAGAGCCGACGACGGGCACTTCCTGTCGAACTGGCTGATTCACTCGAGCCCGGGGACCGGAGTAATTCGGGAGGCAGTAGATGAAGATCTAGTGTTGTATCCACATCGGTGTTTGTGTAGCGAAGTTTGATATCCAATAGTGTGTGACGGTTGTAAGAGGTTAATGTGTAGCTATGTCGAACAACTGCGCTGAAAATAACTAGTGAAATAAGAAGTAATTTGCAAAAACTGGAGAGACGCTGAGCCTCGCGCTGTTCACACGCTGCCATCTTGGAGAGTATAAAGAACTGGCTTGTAACAGTTGACTTTGAATCACAGGAGAAATTTGAATCACAGGGCAGTACCAGTGTTGGACAATACCTACAGTAGATCCCATTTTGGGGAAGATTTGAATGAACGTAGAAAATAGTATATAAGAACATCAGAAAGAAACCTAGAGAGCTGGGGGCAAGTCAGCAACAATCCAGAGTTTTTTGAGCCATTACAAGTACAACTCTTGAGGAATGGTTCTACCCTTATGAGTATTTGGGAGGAGAGATGCTGGTTTACTTGCTTTAATCTCAAGTTATCACAGTGGTTTGGTGAGTCTAAAGGCTTTTCTCCCCCGCGCTTTTCAAATCTTCAAGATCTCTTAAAAATAATTTATTTTAAAAAACTTGAAAGTATAGGATTTATCTAAGACTTTGGAACCATGATGGTTTTAAATATTTGTTCTAGTATGTTCTTAACTAGAAGAGTAAAACTGTAGGATTATTTAGTTTCTATTTACATCACATTTATGCATTTAGCAGGGAACGTTAGTAAGGTTCCATCGACAAAGCCTTAAGTTTAGAAAGGCAGGCCAGTAGAGCATTGCAGTCCATTGCTGATTTTGTACAGCACAAATCTACACGACCTGGCTGTTGTTGGAATGTGGATGGTAAAGGTCAACTTTTCATTAAACAATTTTCGTGTTGGTGTTGTAGACCCCAGTTGAACAGTGATGTTTTGCTCAACTGACAGGTTTGCAGGGATTACAGCGAGCTCCGTCTTAGCAAGGTTGAGCTGGAGAAGATGCTCCTTCATCCAAGCTGAGATCAGTTCCGATGATGTTAATCATATTGTCATTCTTGATTGCTTAACTTAAATCCTTTGGCCTCAAAATTAGAGTCCTTGTATCTGCATCACCAGCCAATGATGCCAACCATCTATAACTCATAATAGTGCTGTAACCTGAATGCAGCCATTCTGAAAACCAAATCAATATGGTGACAAGCATGAGAACCTGTGTGTGAATTTATGTTCTTACTCTAAATGTTTGAATTATTGCAGTGAGCTGACCCAGACTCTGTTAACCACTCATGGCAGAGAAAACGTCTGCTTTGCGGTCTGCCGCTTATATAGACAGCAACTCAACATGCCACACAATTTGTGCCCCTTATGTGAAGCTAACAGAAGATTTGATTGATTGATCCAATTGATTCCGCTGGAGTTCCAGTGACATGAAACTTTAAGCATAAAAGTTGTATCACACAAATATAGTGTAAAATAATCCATTTTAAATTAAATAGATTGAATTATTTCTTATCCATACTTTTTTGTAATATTTGTAATATATTTAGGACAATAAGTACATTTAGAACGTTTATCTCAACTTGAATTTTCCTTTTTTTTTGTGAGCATGTCATAATACATTGCCTTGAAATACTAGGTTAGCTCTTTAAAGCCCAGTGTGTGTGTGTGTGTGTGTGTATATATATATATATATTCTTAAAATTCATTCAAAATTCTAAATAACTTGTAATATATAATTATTCACGGTATTTAGAAGAGCCCAAGATAACAATATCGTGCATATTCATTACCGTGATATATCTCATTACCGAATACGGCACAAGTCTAATAATGTGTATATTAGCATACTTTTGAGTTTGGTCTATATTTGGCCTAAAGACAAATGATCATACTTAATAGAAGAATAACTGAACAGCCAAGGCACTGTACAAAATATTAGTCTTAAACTGTAGGACGTTTATTTTATGTAAAGAGTTTGGCTTAGGAAATGTGAATTAAAAAAGAAAGCCATATTATTTTTTATGACTTGATGTAGCATTGTTTATTTGTAAATGCTAGTCCATTGTGTTTTAAACACATGATGTCATTGACCACCCAGCAACAGTTTGAAGATATAGAGGTGAAAGTCCAGAACAAGGCATAAAAGGGATGGGCTGACAGGAGACGTCAGTGCTGTTTGAAAGTGTTTACTTTCAAAATGCTTGTATGGAAATGAAGAGAGAAAAATTTGTTTCCTCCCTCTGTCCTGCTGCTGACCTTGAGTTCACTTTTATAAGCTGAAAGGTAGATGGGAGACACTGATCCTGAGCAAGTATTGTCTGTTTTTTGACAGTTTTTAATGAATCTTAATTTGGACCTTAAGAAAGTGCTTTTAAAAACATATCTGTAAATGCTATAATTTAATGAGAAACTCTTTATATCACTGTTCCTTAGGACAAATGAGGTACATATTAAAAATGTTCTTTATAATAAATCAAGGTTATATTAAGGCAAATACACCATTAGCTAATATTATTTTCATAATATATTTTTTTTATTCAGAAGGTGGTCTTCCTGTAGTAGACATATACTGTAATGACCAGTTTTCTTTTGCAATATTGTCCTTTTGTTAGGTTCAGTTCTGTGATTGTGAGGCCATTCCCTAGCCGATCAAAGTCTACATTAATATGCTTTGGATTTTTTTATTACTCGATCAGATGGAATGCATTAAACTGCTGTTTCTGTTCTAATTCCTGAGTGCAAATGCTCTTCATTCTTGCTAATAATTTCTAGGGATTACGCCCATTTCACACATACTCTGTTTGCAGTACTCTGTATGCAGTCCATGCGTGGTGTGTATGTGGTGCAGAAGCAGCACAGGTTCATTGTGCTTTCACATAGGACGCGTTTGCAGTCTGCTACTGATCTGCAGCTGTATAACACAAACATAACATTTATCTATTATTTTAATTTCAAATCCAAAAGTTGTTACTGAAAATGCTTTTCAGCATTGTGATTCTCTTTTTACACCGTACACTGATACAATCTTTCTTAGACTTACTCACTTTTAAAAGCAATAAATATAAACATTCAATGCATTTTACTTCTAGATTTATATATTAAGTTGCTTGAGCATGTGGAAAAACATTTAAACATAGCCTATAGCCTACTTTTCTTACATTACAATGCTATCACAAACATTTTAAATTAAAAAACATCCCACATATACTCCGTTTGCAGTGTGCATGCACTAACCTGTTAACATGGGCACAGAAAAAAATATGCACCGCGTGCACACTGCAAACGGAGTATATGTGAAACAGGCATAAGGTGTGTTGGTATTACCAAAATTGTGCATATATATCATTTTATGATAATTTTTACTTGAAGTTGGGGTGGGGGTAATTGAGAATAAATGGGAAAAAATATATGTGAGAGCAGGCAATGCCTCCATCACAGTATGATTGGCCTATTATGCTCCTCACTCAGCAAGTCCTGCCTCCCATGTTTGTGAGCATACTACATCCACAAAACAATCTAACTCAAGAATGAATCTAACTGGTGTACATGGACATACTAATTAAAAAGTAGAAACTTACCTACTTAGATATCACCGCTTGATACCTACTTAGATATCATGTCCAGTCAAATTTTAAATGACTTTAAAAAGTGTCTCACTCATTGATATTGTTAGTTTGCGTTCACTCAGCTTGGTGGAAGGTACATTTCCGTGTCTGTGACCATCATGACACCTGCGGTATTTACCAAACTTTGATGATTGGATGAGCCTAAAAGAAACTGACTGTTAAAAACAATAGCTGAACATCAGTTCACAAATAAACTCAAAATCTGAAAATTGTTGCTGCATTCTTGTACAATCCTTCTTTTGGCTTATTGTGTGATAAAGAAAATTAGTCATTTGAGTGTGAAAAATGTGTTGTGATTGGCTATGATGTGAAGATAAATCACTCTCTCTGTACCTTTTCCTTTTTTTTTTTTTTGCCATTTCTACTTTAGAATCACCTCGGTTGTCCACTGCCTCTGTTGGCAGTTATGACCGGGCCTCCACTGCTACGCTGTCCGATTGTTCTGACTTCACAGAAGTCCAGACGCCCATAAGCGTGGTCTCCACCATCTCATCCGGGTCTGGTTCCTCTCGGGAAGACGTTCTCCTGTCAGAAATCCCATCTACTGGTGTGCCTATTGAGGACAACGCGGATCTGGAATTAACGCCTGCTGCTGATCCGGATGAGACTCAGGGCACTAGTCTTGCCCAAGCAACCACCCTCTTCCTCCAGCAAAATAGCAGCAACACTATTAACAACAACAACAGCTCCTCCGTTTCCAATAGTTTCTCTCCATTTGCTGCCAACACCATGGCACCCAACCCTGAGCTCACCTACCTGGACCGTGTGGTCATGGAGATCATTGAGACGGAGCGGATGTATGTGAGAGATCTGCGGAGTATCGTAGAGGTCAGCATTAGTCTTAACCTTTCTAAACAAATGCTTATATTCAAGTGTCAAACAAATAAAATTTGCAAAAAATGTAATTAATTACAATATATGCTAGGGGTGTAACAGTACACAAAAATTACAGTTCGATGCGTACCTTGGTTTTAAAGTTACAGTTCTGTCAAATGTAAGTTATCTGACATGCTGTCATTTTTGTTAACATGCATTAGATCAGTCCCATTTTTTTTCCTAGTTAATCTCTAGTTGAGTATTTCTAAACTGTTTTAGCATTGTCACCGCTTGCTCTACTCAAGCATGTGCTCAGCTCCCATGAAGACTTTATTGGTGATGCCTGCTCACCTCTGCTCACCTCTTTGTCAATAGACACGTACATTACTGCTGCCTTGATCTGCATTGCAGCTTGTAATCACACACATAGTTTGATTATAAGGAAGGAGTTTCTCACAATGTAGAAAAGTATGTAGGTGTGAGGGACTCCATGTAAATGAAAAACAGTTCATACACTGTGCTCACAAGCTAGTGTTTACCTCTCACTCGTGCCGTAGGTTGCAGACCCCTGTGCTGTGTAGATGGACGTTTTGGGCTGTTTTTTTGTGTATTGGTGTTTTTTATTTTCTGACACCATTTTTAAGATGCAGTGTTAAGTTTTAAAATGTCAATTAAAAAATATATGCTTTGAGACCCTGCTTTTAGTTCGATTCAGTTCCTACTATTCTTCAATGCAAGAAATCATCCAGTGTGAATGACTGATTAATAGCAGGATATGGGTCAGGAGGCTTGATGAAATACTTTTTTTTTTTTTTGGAATTGACAGCCCAAATTTTTACACACTCTTTTCTTATAAGGGTGTGTTAGGTGATAGTTCACCCAAAAATGTAGTTAGAGTGACAAATGGAGCTCATGCGTTTTTTAGGCAGACCACGGTGTGACAGCCAGCATCAGCTGATGCTCAGCTGATTGTAACTTCTCCCACTACACATAAATAAGATATATAAGTTCATCCGTACTCACACTTGCCTTAGTCTGTCGCACAGACATGCGCTTAGTCAAGCTTACCTTAGTCTGTCCACAGAAACATGCTAAAACAGCTTGAGATCTGTCACTTGTCAAATCAGCTTTCGGTTTCGGTGAACAGAAAATGCGATAAATCTGCCTTCGGTTCTGTCGCACAGAACACATTAAGTCAGCTTTCAGTCACTAATCTGTCACACAGACACATGTTAAGACACAATTCCAGAAGATTTGGGACATTTTGTGAAATGCCATACAATCAAGAATGTTATTTGTTCATTCTCTTTAACCTTTATTTAATTGACTAATGTACAAAGAAAAATTTTTTTTCAATGTTTTCACTGGCCAACTTAGTTTTTTTTGTTGTTGTAAATATAAACAAATTTTGATTTTGATGACTGCAACACACTCCAAAAAAAGTTGGGACAGAGGCATGTTTAACACTGTGTAACATCAACTTTCCTTTTAATTACAATGTTTAATTGTTTGGGAATGGAAGAAACTAATTGTTAAAGTTTTGCAAGCAAACTTTTTGTCAAATCTCACTTGATACAAGACTTCAGATGCTCAGCAATCTCTGATCGTCGTTGTCTGGTTCTACTTTTCAAGACTGGTCATACATTTTCAAGACAAATCTGGACTGATCTAGCACATTCACTCTGTGTCTACGAAACCATGCTGTTGTAGCACATGCAGAATGAGACCTGGCATTGTCTTGATCTAATAACCATGGACTTCCCATGAAAGATGTCATCTTGATGGCAGTATATGTCTCTGTACAATTTCAATATATGCCTCTATGTCAGTGGTACCTTCGCACATATGCCAGTCACCCATGCCGTTTGCTCTGCTGCACCCCCATACCATGACAGACATTTGCTTTTGCACCTGTCACTGATGAAAGTCTGGACGGTCCGTTTGGTCTTTGGGACTGAGAACTCGACGTCCATTTTTCCCATAAACAAGTTGAAATGTGGACTCATCTGACCACAGCACACATTTCCAAAGGTTTCCTGCATTGCCCTATACAGACTGAGATTTCTCTGCATTCTCTGAATCTTTTCACAATATTATGTATGTAGTTGGTGAAAGACCTCAATTCTATGCAATTGTGCATTGAGAAATTTGATTTTTGATTTGTTTGACACTTTCATGAAATTTGGCACAAAGTGATGAGCCATGATCCAACTTTGCTTGCAAAGACTGAAATGCTCCTTTTATACCAAAACATGATACCCTCACCTATTACAAATTCACCTGCTTACTGTTACTGTTTCAAAACTGTTTAACTTGGATATTCTATAACCTTTTCACTTTTATTTTGCCTCTGTCGATACCCTCATTACAAATTCACCTGCTTACTGTTACTGTTTCAAAACTGTTTAACTTGGATATTCTATAACCTTTTCACTTTTATTTTGCCTCTGTCCCAACTTTTTTGGAGTGTGTTGCAGCCATCAAAATCAAAATTTGTTTATATTTGCAAAATACATTTACGTTGGTCAGTGAAAACTTTTTAAAAACTTTTCTTTGTACTTTTGTCAGTTAAAATTCAGTTTTTCAATAAAATTCAAAGAGCATTATTACAGATTCTTGATTTTATTGCATTTTACAAAACGTCTCAACTTTTCTGGAATTGGGGTTGTACGAGCATGCGGTGTCATCGTTATGTCGTCAGTTAAGTCATGAAGTTACGAAAAAAAATTAAAACTGTGCATGTATGTAAGTATTTGTTATATACAGGTGCATCTCAATAAATTAGAATGTCATGGAAAAGTTCATTTATTTCAGTAATTCAACTCAAATTGTGAAACTCGTGTATTAAATAAATTCAGTTCATACAGACTGAAGTAGTTTAAGTCTTTGGTTCTTTTAATTGTGATGATTTTGGCTCACATTTAACAAAAACCCACCAATTCACAATCTCAACAAATTAGAATACTTCATAAGAACATAAAATAGAATACTTCATAAAAACATTTTTAGTGAATTGTTGGCCTTCTGGAAAGTATGTTCATTTACTGTACATGTACTCAATACATGGTAGGGGCTCCTTTTGCTTTAATTACGGCCTCAATTCGGCGTGGCATGGAGGGGATCAGTTTGTGGCACTGCTGAGGTGGTATGGAAGCCCAGGTTTCTTTGACAGTGGCCTTCAGCTCATCTACATTTTTTGGTCTCTTGTTTCTCATTTTCCTCTTGACAATACCCCATAGATTCTCTATGGGGTTCAGGTCTGGTGAGTTTGCTGGCCAGTCAAGCACACCAACACCATGGTCATTTAACCAACTTTTGATGCTTTTGGCAGTGTGGGCAGGTGCCAAATCCTGCTGGAAAATGAAATCAGCATCTTCAAAAAGCTGATCAGCAGAAGGAAGCATGAAGTGCTCCAAAATGTCTTGGTAAACGGGTGCAGTGACGTTGGTTTTCAAAAAACACAATGGACCAACACCAGCAGATGACATTGCACCCCAAATCATCACAGACTGTGGAAACTTAACACTGGACTTCAAGCAACTTGGGCTATGAGCTTCTCCACCCTTCCTCCAGACTCTAGGACCTTGGTTTCCAAATGAAATACAAAACTTGCTCTCATCTGAAAAAAGGACTTTGGACCACTGGGCAACAGTACAGTTCTTCTCCTTAGCCCAGGTAAGACGCCTCTGACGTTGTCTGTGGTTCAGGAGTAGCTTAACAAGGGAGCACCCCAGCACTGTCTCCCTCATCTAACACACCTGATTCAACTCATCAGCTCATTGGTCAGAAAAGGTAAAGAGTTGTGAGAAAATACGATGCGTGTCAGATCCACGTCATGTTCAGCAGCGGCAGCTCTTAAAGCAGCCAAAATAACCTAATAACACAACTGCTGTGATGCCTGTTAATCAAAGAACAAAAGAAAAAAGAGCTTTAAGTATTTATCTACATATAATTTAGAATTTAGTGTTTGATAACTTCATTCAATTTCTATATATTTCTATCCTACTTGCTGAAGGGCACAGGTAGCTAAATATGACACATATAAATAGGGGTGGAACGGTACACAGATGTCACGGTTCGGTACGTACCTCGGTTCGGGGGCCACGGTTCAATACGATTTCGGTACAACAGGGGGGAAAAACAAATCTACTATGTTCGGTTTCTTTTCATTTATTTTGAACAGACAGTAGTAGTACAAATTAAAAAATGTTCCACCTAGATGTGAAAATACTAAATATTATTACGTTATATATATAAAATCTGCAGTACATATATACATACAAGGAATAAATTATTGAAATATATTTGATTTAGTTTACAGATAAACAAGGGAAAAAACAGTGCGACACGTAACGTAGCCTATATACGCTGAGTTTCAGTTCATTTTTGTGACCGGCTTAATTTGTTCACAGAAAGGAAACTCAAATGGCAGAAAGCGACATCCTATTTGTTTTCTTTATTTTACGAAAGCACAATGTTTTGTTTTCATTGTGAGTGTACACAAATAAAAGCAGAACTTTACACAGTGATCCATTATTAATAAGACAGTAAGTGTTTAAAGTTGATTCTGCTGGTATAAGGAAACAGTTGAAGTGATCGCGCCGGCGCGCACACACACACACACACAAAACACATCAGTTCCAGCATTGCTAACTTGACAGCGCAGTTGGTACTTTATCAAAATAAAATACAGTGAACCAAACATCAGCTCTGTGTCACCATTGGAAAGCGACTGAAGTACAAAGCCTATAATTTACATAATAAATTATAGTTTAGCATTCAGATACGTTACTACGGTGCATGGTCGGTTCACTTAGTTTTGTCGTGGCCACGAGATCATTTTGTCGAGGTAACGACATCCTTATGTCGTGGCCTCGAGATGCTATGTTGAGGGAACGACATCCATTTCTCATGGCCACGAATTTAATGCGTAAAAAAACCTGCGTGACCATAGCAACCCGGGATTATCAAAAATGGATAAAACCTTTTTATTACCATTAAACATTTAATTTAATATTTGTATATTATTATTATTATTATTATTGCATTAACTTATTAGGGCTATATTTTTATATTTATTGTTATACATGCTTATTTCCCCTTTCAATTTGTGTATCGCTTTACCTAGTTAACGTTTTGTATAATTATGCTAGCATTTGCTAGCCTACCATATATTTAGCAAATAAACGCCTGACAATTATGCCAATAAAGTTTTGACTTTATGATTGTATTTATGCCCATGTGTGATGATAAATGAGCGTCTTGTGTTTTCTCATTTACAAGTGAAACTACGTGAATAATTAATTATTCAACGAAACACTATAGTATTTATAATTATGGTCTATTAATTAGCCGAAATAAAATGAAATATATGTTAAATTTAAACTATGTTAAAATTCCAGTCAGCATAATCAAAGCTTTATTGGCATGTTGAGCATTTACAGTAGGCTATTATTTACAAAAGTATTCAGAATGTTAAGTAAAAAGATCGAAATGAAGGGAAAAATTTATATAAAAACGAAGATAAATATAACCAATAATAATAGGCTAATAATAATAATAATAATAACAACAATATACAAATATTACGGGGAAAAGACGATCAGTTAATGGACTTACAAGACTGTAGGATGGATACAAATGTTTTCTTATAGGCCTATTTTATATTATGCACTTTATGTAAAATTTATTCATGATAAACTTCATTTGAATGCTGACTTTCGCACGTAGTACAGCCCGTAGCGAAGGCCTATGGTTAATATAATAATTTAATAATGTAATAATTTCTATAATAAATAATATAATAATTTCTTAATTCAAAATAAAATATTAATGAATCCATCGCTGATAATCCCGGGTTGCTATGGTCACGCAGGTTTGTTTACACATTAAACTCGTGGCCATGAGAAATGGATGTAGTTCCCTCAACATAGCATCTCGAGGCCATGACATAAGGATGTCGTTACCTCGACAAAATGATCTCGTGGCCGCGACATATCACGTTCCCACGAGTTAATATGACGTTCCCTGAAATTAATATCTCGTGGCCACAACATATTATCACGTTCCCACGAGTTATTATGTCATGGCCACGACAAAACTAAGTGAACCGACCATGTCACCTCCCGGGCACCATAGTTACATCGCAAATATGGAAATATTATGGAATATTTGGATTTGTGCCGAATGAGAGAGGTAGGATACACGAGCACAAAGCTCCATTTCGCAAACAGTTGCGTGCACAAGCCTTTAGAAGTATACTCCTTTGTCAGTCTGTGAGAGACGCATTCAGAATAAGCACATGGCCACTGTCTAGTGGGCTTTGTTTTCAAGTGCGCAACTCATGGCATTCGCTGTTCTTCTGCTGGCGGCCGCTTATGAAACAGTGTTGCATTGCTGCGGGCGCCCCCTTCTGGCTTGGGGTGAATTGCCTGCAT